CCCCCCCCCCACTGACCGCGAGAAGAAAACTTCGTTCCTCAAAGTTCCTTTTCAAGGAGACGCTGCGAGTGAACTCCTAAGAAGACGCCTTGATCAAGCTGTCTCGAGAACCTTCCCAGCAGCAAGGGTTCGCATATAATCCTCTACTAACCCTGTTTTGCGCGGAGAAGGAAAGGATAGGGCGCCATCTCAGACCACCTTCATGTGCATCTACTCATTCACTTGGTCATTCGAAGTAGGTTATATTGGTCGTACGAGTCGGCGCCTTTCCAAAAGAATATGAGAGCCCCTCCCCGCATGACTGGCAAAAAGAGAAACTAGGAGAACAGGCAGCGCCATTCTTGCTCATGCAATGGATTCAGGGCATCGTGTGGACCCCGACGAATCTTTTCGTGTGATTTATAAGATACCCTCGAGCTATCCTAAGCCACTGGGCCAGCGCCTGTTATCAGCAGTAGAGGTGAGTGCAATCAGGTTACAAAAACCAACCCTATGCGCCCAGAAGAACCTCAATCAGGCTTCGCGCTTACCGTGGTTAAACATTGAGTAACCACATACAACTTTCTGCGCCCTCCCGATCTTGCTTAGCCTGTGTTTCCGAAATTAGCTTTTATTGACTTTTTTACTCAATGTACCCTGTTCCCATATAACTGTAACGGTTTGAAGAGAAATTATCGAATGCACAGTGTGCTCGCCACCTCGTCTACTAAATTCATGGATTATTAACTGCTGATATTGAAACCATCAACATAACGCGAACCAGCATGAGCAGAGCTATTCTGGTGTGATCGATGGGAGAAAAATGTTGACGCAATGTAGAAAAGTGGACTGCCCTATACTTAATAGCGCAGACTTGTTATCTTTCGGTACCGTTTAGAAAAGGTAATTTATGGTCATATATCATGTTCTGATGTTCATACTACATTGGCCGAGTATCTGAATATGCTCTTAAACAGGAAATATTATTTACGTAGGGTTGCATAGTCAATAACTACAGAGCCACAACTATGCTGACTAAGGACTTTTGACTTGGGTTACCTTAGGTGTCAAACCTAACTTCGCCTGTGCCAAAATGTCATCACTTACGTTGTGCTCAGATTGATCTGTAAAGGGCAACATAATCATTAAAATATTTTTTTAAAACTAACATAGAACTTCACGGCAGTTGAATAACAAGCGATCTTTTCTGGACCCCCTTACGCGTCAGAGGAATGTCAATTATTCAGTCAACCTTCTAAAAGACATGCATAAGTTAGTATCTACACTTTACGACGCAAATAAAACTCTGCTTACGCCCTCTTCGGAAGGGCAGAAGTTGGGTATAGTGGAACCATTCACCGAGAACTTGTCTGTGCCGAGGCAACTAGGGCTAAGCCTAATTATCCAGTCCGCTACATCTGAAATATAACCAGTTTTTGCCATGAAAAAGGGAGGAACAGTCACTTCCGAAAAAAGGCTGTTGTAGTATCATTACCCTTAAGGGTGTAAAAATTTTAAACACCAGGCAATGGTCATGCTGCACCAGTAAAAGGACTCACAAAACAGCTTAGCCCAAGAAGGTGGGTCTTGGGATAACTATTTTAATTAAAACAACGAAGGACGCCTTGCCTGAGCGCGCTTCTCATGCGTTTATACGTTCAAGTATACTGTAAGAACCGGAAAAGCAAGTTTGTTTAAAAGAGGGAGAAAAACGAGCGAGCGGGATAAAGGAGGCGGGAGGTTTTGTGTCGTGGTTTGAGTGTGTGTCTTCTCTCTGGCGTTTCAGGTGAGGACAGCGGACTAGAGCAAGAAACCGTCCAAAACCCTGTGGATATCTTACCTCCAAAACCACGTCCCTGACCAGCAAGTGTCTTCTCTTCCCCACTTTACCCCTAGGGACTTTCTGCGCCTCTGACCCTCGTTCTTCCGTTTTCATACTTCCCCTTCTCGCAATATATTGTTAACCTATTGCGTCTTCTTTGACTGCTCGGATCGCACGCGTACGTTGAGATATCGTCTGGTCGCCTGATGCCAAAATCTAAGTCCAACTATTCCGGAAAGGGGGAAGCGGCCCCATCCCCATCTCATTCAATCGAGCGAGTCGACGTTAGTCAAGAACCAGTCCCCCAGCTGAAACCGCAGGACGGTCCGCCTACTACAATACTTGTGTATGCAAACATATTGGATGACTTTTAAGGCATGTTAGTCAGGTCAGTTGAGCACCCGATTAAGTGGTTTGTGAATTCAAAAATCAAAATCCTTCAAAGGTCAGTAAGCACAAAACTAGCTGTCCGGCTCCTACGGTGCGTGACCGATATCATGAAATGTTGGCCAAAATTCCGAAATGCGTTTACGACTAGGAAGGGTTACTTAGGTGGGGTTGTAATATTGATTATGCCGCGGCATAATCCTATAGTATTTCGGATTTGGCAGGATGTCGGTTTTAAATGCACTTCTTTTCAATCTCCTGTAGAAACCGTACTCGGTAAAAAATGACTACTTATGTGGCATGCATTTTTCACATTGATTTTCCATGGTCTTATAAATTCAAATAGATTTTATGAAAAACATGAACAAAAATATTCTTTCTTTCACTCGTCTGATAGAGAATCACGTCGTCGTCATATTTTAAACTCGAAGAAAGAGTACAACTAGGTTTTAAAGAAGTTCCTTAATATGAGATTTTTCAAGACCCTACAATGTCCATTCATACAGCATCGTACCTGTCCGTTTACCACTGCTCCTCATGAAATGTACGTCATGGTCCGCATCCATTGCAAAAATTTATGGACTCCATACGGAATATTTTTAAAGGCGTAGATGAATATAAGATTTTCCTTACGCGGAACATATGCACCTTGTAAAATGAAATCACTAGGCGCTATTGCAACGGCTGATCATGCTCCAAATTATACGGCACTTAGATAACTTGTTTAGAACCTAATTATAGACCCTCTTTGAGTATAAAATATAAAGATAACGTGATTCGCTATTAGACGACTGAAAGAAAGCATATTTCTGCTCGTGGTTTCTATAAAATATATTTGAATTTGCAAGACTAGCGCAAATCAATGGGAAAAATGTATGCAACTAAAGTAGTTATTTTTTGCTGACTACGGTTTCTACAGGGGATTAAATATAAGTGCACTTAAAAGCCGGCATCCTGCCGAATCCGAAATACCATAGGATTATGCCGCGGTATAATCAATATTACAACCCTACTTGCGTAATCCTTCCTAATCGAAGACGCATTTCAGAATTTTGGCCAACATTTCATGAGAGCGGTCACTCACTGTAGTTCCTACGAGAACGGTTCGAACATTGTGTTACTTGGATGCAGCGTACGCGCGGTGGGAAACCCTGGCTTGCGCAAGCAAGCAGACCGCGTGACGTACCCAGCCTCAGTCTGGAAATACAGAATCTCAAAATCTGCAAAGTCGGTTGTACGTTACCACTTTTTGACTTTTCTCTATCGCATTTCAGATGACCTATCCAACGATTGTGACCTTGCTGACTTCACAGAGAATTTCGGGGACAATCAGCCGATGTATGACTATTACTCGATATTCATGCTGTGAGGCGAAAAAAGCTGAAATGTTGCCAGGAAATCTGATGTCAAGAAATCCCGCCGCATATGTTTGCTTCGCACTGCAAAAGGTCTCGAAATTGCAGTGTTTGCGCACCCAACATCAGCCCAGAAAGTATATTTGAAAAAACGATCAGTCGTGCATTTCTCGATGTGACCGATTCTGCCTTTAACTGTCAAATCTCCAGAAGAGGCGACCTATTGAGAACGGCTATTGGAAATACATGTTTACTAAGTCATTTCCATAACAATGACCTGACCGTATACAGTTTCTGAAAACTAGTGCATGATAGTTAATATCAATGAAATGATTTTTTCCAGGTTGGGAGCCCCCAGTGGTCGGAAAGGCTTTTGATGTAAACCAGCGTAGCTGGTGGGTACAAAAGGGACAAAACCGGAAGAAAGTTTTAGAAAAAACCCTAGACACAACAAAATTGGACGCGAAACAGCTTCGATGATTACATGGAAATTACCGTCCCCTATTCTTACACACACCTAGGTAAATAAATGGTGCTCGAATCTTGAAGTCCACCTATTCTTCCGAACAGGTTTACACTCGACAGGCATTTTACCGTATCTTGTATTGTCGTATTTGTCAAAACATCCAAAATCACATCATTTTTAACGATTGCCTAAACTATGAACATTTTCAACGGATGGGCTTTGACTGACTGAATCCACAAGTTTAGGCTCATATTTTCGTTTGCAAGCCTAAAGAAATCGTATAACAACCGTGAAATTTTAATCATTGACTAACCCACGCCGTAGGAACTACCTTGATGGGCTCTAAATGAATTTATGATCATTTGATCTGTGAAGGGAGCTGGCAGGTCTTCACCAAGTTGAAAATCGCATCGCCCAGGAGGAACCAAAGTTGGAACGGCAGAAACACTGTCGAAGACCGTATGGTCAGGAAAGTGCACACGCCGACAAAAACGGGAAAGCTAGAAATAAGTGTTTTTGAATGCGGTTACTATGTTTAAGAAGTTCAAAAAGAAGCCTAATACTTTGCGAAAAAAAGTTCCGGCAAATTGCGTCTAATAAGTCATTTAAGGTCCAAATTAGAAACATCCTTAATGGCACCCACGCAGGCAGATTAAGAAAGCCATAATGATAAAAATGTACGCGTCCAAAAGTCCTTCACAGGCCGTGAATTGCTTTAAGTCTTTAAAACTCTTCAACTATGCACGGAACCAGGGACAAACTAACACAGGGCGTCTGTTCCCAGGTTGACTCGCGGTTGGGAGCCAAATATGCATAGGCTGGGCTCTGGTAGCCGGACAATTCCGATTAGTCTGTTGACTCACAGTACACAGACGCCTAATGCCCGAAACGACAGACGACAATCCTCTCCGTAAATAAAAAGACAGCCTTTCTAAGAGAAGACACATGCAGAGAAAGATTGCATTTAAACGGTGTCTAGCAAAATAGATATCTACAAACGCGAAAGGAAAGAGAGCACCAGAAGTAAAACATTCGATAATCTGGAAAAATAAGAGACATCCGCAGGCAAGCATGGCAAAGACGAAATGATCATGTCTTAGAGGTGCAGCTTTGATCCCACGGTCAGGAAAACGAACATCCACAGTACGAAGCAAATGTTTATGTGGAGAGGAGGGGTCGGCGACCGAAGAGGCGGTCGTGCTACTAACTGAGTAGGCGACAGAGTGCGTTGTGCAAAGGAATCGAGAGGAGAGCGGCAGCAGTAATGCCTAACCCATCCGCAAATGCTGCGATCGACATCACGTACTCTTTGTAGGCCGGCTCTGTCTAAAATGATATAATAAGGGTTTTGTTTGGAAACGCACAATGCGCGCTCATATGTTTATTATCTTAATCACAGCACGGATATCAACCTAAAGATCAGACATGCGTTTCATCGGATTTCTGCCGCTGCATGTGCAGTTGAGCGGGGCTAGGAACATCAGCATTGTCCACGTGGCTTCTGGTAGCAATCCAGTGTTGCGAGCGAATTTTACAATTTATTCCAAAGACAAGGAACACACTGTGACTTACGTAGTCGTAACCGGACATGCAAGGCGCGGCACTAACTTTATATATGCATTAGAGCTACATGTAGAAACCCTAAAGAGATACGCTAAGAATCAACTGGAAAGTACCCTCGTAAAAATAGAACTTGGGCGTCATGTGTGTCAAAGCACAGCCCTCCTTGACACCCTGACGGATGACGAAAGACAAGAATTCGGCAACTACACTCAGTCTATAGGAAGAAAACGAGGAGAGGAAAAAATTTCTGCGCTCCTTAGAAGTGCGCATGAAATGAAACCACAATCACGGTTTCCGAAAGATCCAGACCGTTCAAAGAAAATAGGCTCACCCAAATAGGTTTATTTAAATGCTGACGTTTCAAAGAGCTGGGTCGGCTCTCCATTGTCAAAGCGTAAAATGCACTTAATCGATCAGAAATTTAATTTAAAGTTGCATGTTTTGTTGGTCGGCCTCATGCTGATCGATTTTTCTCTCCTCTCGCTGACCCGGCCTCTCGGGAGCTGGTTGACGGGCGTTTTGCCTGCACAGCAGATGCCGCACCCACAGAGTTTATTGCCGTTTGCGAGACAGAGGATGGTTGCTGTTGAAGTGTAGGATCTGTCTCGTGTCGGTGGATTTTCGGAATACTGTAGTTTGCAGCTGTCCCGTGGTACACCGGCGCACAAGTAAGTCAAGGACGGGCAGTTGGTTGTTTGTTTCTGCTTGCATCGTAAATTGGATATCCGGGTCAACCGAGTTTAGTAGTTCCTTTAGGTGCTCAATGTCAGTTGTTTTGACAACGACGACGGTGTCATCGACATAGCGGGCCCAGAACTTTGGTTGATACTTGGTGAACACCAAGTGTTCTACCCGTTGAAGAACTACTTCAGCGATTAGGCGTGATATACGGGAGCCTATAGGAGTGCATTTTATTTGTTCGTACATGAGTCCACCGAAGGTGAAAAAGGTCTTGAGGCAGTATCACAGAAGGCTCACCAACAGCAGTAGCATCTGCATATCAATTCCTCGAACGCATAACACATCTGAAGTTAGAGCCAGACGAGTCCATGGTATCCTTTGATGTCGTTTCGCTCTTCACCTCCATTCCACAGCAACTAGCGATAGACGTTGTGGACCAACTACTGGCAGAGTGTTATGAGGAGAGAGACAAACCCCTGAAGTCTGAGCATCTGCTCGAGCTTCTGTGATACTGCCTCAAGACCCATTTCACCTTCGGTGGACTCATGTACGAACAAATAAAATGCACTCCTATAGGCTCCCGTATATCACGCCTAATCGCTGAAGTAGTTCTTCAACGGGTAGAACACTTGGTGTTCACCAAGTATCAACCAAAGTTCTGGGCCCGCTATGTCGATGACACCGTCGTCGTTGTCAAAACAACTGACATTGAGCACCTAAAGGAACTACTAAACTCGGTTGACCCGGATATCCAATTTACGATGCAAGCAGAAACAAACAACCAACTGCCCGTCCTTGACTTACTTGTGCGCCGGTGTACCACTGGACAGCTGCAAACTACAGTATTCCGAAAATCCACCGACACGAGACAGATCCTACACTTCAACAGCAACCATCCTCTGTCTCGCAAACGGCAATGAACTCTGTGGGTGCGGCATCTGCTGTGCAGGCAAAACGCCCGACAACCATCTCCCGAGAGGCCGAGGCAGCGAGAGGAGAGAAAAATCGATCAGCATGAGGCCGACCAACAAAACATGCAACTTTAAATTAAATTTCTGATCGATTAAGTGCATTTTACGCTTTGACAATGAAGAGCCGACCCAGCTCTTTGAAACGTCAGCATTTAAATAAACCTGTTCCGGTGAGCCTATCTTCTTCTTCTTTCTTCTTTTTCTTTTTTTCTTTATTCTTTCTTCTTTCTTTTCTCTTCTTTATTCTTCTTCTTCTTCCTCAAATAATCAACCTGGATCTCTCAACTTTGCTAATCTGAGCATATCGAGATCGGTAAGTAAACAACCACTCCTATATGACACTTGATAAAACATCACTTGAAGCATTATCCCTTGGTTCTAAGTACCTCGTCGAAAAGTTAATTAGTTAGCATTGGCAACTTAATTGACTAACCGCATGCAAATTTCTTCGCCTTTCCGCTCTCGCCCCGCCTGTGTTTTAAAACTATTATCGATTTTTCAATTACTCGCATGTTGGACTATACCCCGTTTCCATATAATTGTACTGGCCTAAAGAGAATTTATAGAAGGTAACGTATGCTGATCAACTCGTCTTCTGAATAAGCATGTGAGTTGAATAATACCAACTTCAACAGTTGAGCGCATGTTTACACCAGCAAAACTGACATTTCACCGGAATCTGCCCTAACATACTCCTAACAAGGGTACAAGCTAAAAGCCCATATGGTAGTATAGAGTAGGGTGGAGTAAATGCCTGTCCACATCACGCACTATCACCAGTTCGGCAGGTGTAAACAAGGCGTTATCAGACGAAGTTGGCAATAATAAACTCGAGTGATTGCATAAAAGTTTGGACTGAGTCAGATTCGACGAGTTTACTCCAAAGTTCTTTGTTAAATTTGGGCCACAAAGTGATTGCACCGAAACAATATGCATACTGAAGGCGCGCTGAGAAGAATTGACACACAATACGACTAACCTTGGATGAAAAGCACCTCAGAAACCCCGGAACGCATGCCAATGTCGATCAACTTCGCTCTCGGATAGGGGTTCAAGGCAAAGATCCCCCCCCCCAAGTTCGCAACTGGCTATATGATACAAATTATATGTCAGCAATGGCGTCGGTGTGCACTATAAAGCATTACACCAGTTGAGGCGACGGCGCGAAAAGAACACGCAAAAGCAAGTTCAGCAAGGTATGCGTCGCAACCACGGATAAGTGGCCAAAACTGGTCAAGTCCCAGTGCAGCCTGCCTTATGGACTTATGCGTTCATCTAAGCCGAGGATATTAAAGTGACAAACAGGATGACGAGGGCAGGTAATAGAAGAGAGGATGACAACTAACCTCAGTAAGTATACGATAGAAGGTATTTACGTAGGACAATCCACCGAGGATGCCCTCGTAGAGGATGAAGGCAAACATGACCCAGATTGAGGGCATGAACGGTTT